AGGAGGGAAGGAGGGAGAGTGGGAGGGGGAGAGGGAGGGAGGAGGGAGAGGGAGGGAGAGGGGGGAGAGGAGGGAGAGAGGAGGGGGGGGAGGGAGAGGGGGAGGGAGGGAGGGAGGGAGGAGAGGAGGGGGCGAGAGAGAGAGGAGTTCTGTTGTTGATGCTGGATGGGAGGGGAGAGAGAGAGAGAGGGGAGGGAGGAGGAGGAATAGGAAGGGAGAGAGAGAGAGAGAAAAGAAAGGCAAAGAATAGGAGAGAAAGAAAGAGAAAAAGAAAGAGAGGACAGAGAGAAAGACACAGGACACAGACCAGAATAAAAAAAAAAAACAATAAATAAAAAAATCCGAGAAACCGACAGACAGACAAACAGACATGAAGAGCGAAACATTGTGAGTAATCTTTAAATTCCCTGACTTCGGAGACTAATTAGTCGCGTCTCCGAGAGGAAATGCTTTCGCTTTGTCACGTCGATTCCGTCTATTAATTTGCTTCCGGTGATTGCTGCCGATGTCTGTCTGTCTCTGTCTGTCGTCTCTGTCTGTCTGTCTGTCTGTCTTTGTCTCTGTCTGTCTGTCTCTCTTCTGTCTCTGTCTCTGTCTGTCTGTGTGTCTCTCTGTCTCTGTCTCTGTGTCTGTGTCTGTCTGTGACTGTCTGTCTGTCCTCTGTCCTCTCTGTCTCTGTCTGTCTTCTGTCTGTTCTCTGTCTTCTTGTCTCTCTGTCTCTCTCTCTCTCTCTCTCCTCTCTCTCTCTCTCCCTTTCTCTTCTCTCTCTCTCTCTGTCTCTGTCTCTGTCTCTGTCTCTGTCTCTGTCTGTCTCTCTCTCTCTCTCTCTCTCTCTCTCTCTCTCTCTCTCTCTCTCTCTCTCTGTCTGTCTCTGTCTCTGTCTCTGTCTTCATTCTCTCTCTCTTCTCTCTTCTCTCTCTCTCTCTCTTCTCTCTCTCTCTGTCTCTGTCTCTGTCTCATTGTCTCTGTCCTCTCTTGTGTCTCTGTCTCTGTCTCTCTCTGTGTCTCTGTCTCTGTCTCTCTCTGTGTCTCTCTCTCTCTCTCCTCTCTCTCTCTCTCTCTCTCTCTCTCTCTCTCTCTCTCTCTCTCTCTCTCTCTCTCTCTTCTCTCTCTCTTCTCTCTCTCTCTGTCCTCTCTCTCTCTCTCCTCTCTCCCTCTCTCTCTCTCCCTCTCTCTCTCTCCCTCTCCCTCTCTCTCTCTCTCTGATAATAACGATAACAACGAATAGACCCAAAAACCCATAAACAAGAAACAGAATATCTTAATGATGCCGATGGCGAACCCAGCTTTAAATTCCGCCTGTAAGACCCGAGACAAGACGAAACGAGACGAGAAGAGTCACTCAAGTTCATTAATGTTGTTCCTTGAAGACTCGGAGGCATTTTGAAGGGGGGGGGGGGATTCTCACAGACGCCACGCCAAGTTAGAGACTTAGAGCGAAAGGGGAGTTGTTGGTCGGGAGAATAAGTGTTGGGTATGAAAGGACTTTTATTGGAAGGGTTTGGGGAGAAGGAGATGGTAAAGGGTGTCTTGGAAGGAATTGAGGGAGGTGGAGAGGAAGAGGAGGAGAGGAGAAAGAGGGAGGGAGATGGGAAGGAGGAATTGAGAAAGAGGGAGAGGGATGGGGAGGAGGAGAGATGGAAAGGGGAGAAAGAGGGAGAGGGATGGGGAGGAGCAGAAATGGAAAAGGGGAGAAAAAGGGAGGGAGATGGGGAGGAGGAAAGATTGAAAAGGGGAGAAAGAGGGAGGGAGCACGAGAGACACAGGAAGGGAAAAGGAGAGAAAGAGAGAGGGGAAATGAGAAAAAGAGAGTGCAAAGGAAAGAGAGAGAGAGAGAGAGAGAGGTGGGGGGGGTGAGAAGGAGAGAAGATGAACAAAAGAGAGAGAGAGAGAGGTTGAGAAGGAGAGAAAGAGAGTGAGAAACGGGGCGAGATGAGGAGTAGATGAGGATAGAGAGGAAAGGAGAAAAGGGAATGAGATATAAAGAGGAAAAAGAGAGAGAGGGACACGGGAAAAAGGAAAATAGAGTAAGAAATTAATCGTCAAGCCGCAGTAAGTAATTCCACTTATAATACCACTTACACCAATGACAATAATAAAGAAAAGATAATACCACTTATATAAATTAATATCGAAAAAGGTAACGAAGACAGACAAAAAAAAAAACAAAGAAAACACAAGAAAATCAAATAAAACCAAATATTTCGGTGAAGTAACAGCCACGAGACAGACAAGTGACTGACACAGAGACAGAAGTGAATCTGCGTGCGTCACAAGGCCAATAAAACACCTACATATAATTCCTTTGAAGAACGTAAAACGGAATTCCGAAGCGCGCGCGCATGCACGCACGCACAGCACGCACGCACGCACGCACACACGCACGCACGCACACGCACACAGCACGCACACACGCACACACAGACACGCACACACACACACACGCACACACACACACACACACACACACACACACACACACACACACACACACACACCA